GAAAATTTCGTATCAATGACGCGTTCCTGATACAACTCAACCGTTTTCATTTCTGAATAATATATATATATTTAGTCATTTCATAGTCACGCTCCGAAGCTAGCCATTTAGCTGTTATGGGCGCAAAATGACCACCCAAACGTGGTCATAGTCGACGCGCCCCAAAACTCCAATCAACAACAACAACAACATGATGGGGGCGGCGTTTCTCAGGTGTGCTATGAACTCCGTTAATCGGGGGATTCAATGGTGAGCCGACACTAATCTCCTTCCAACAACTTCCAACCTGCACGTCGTATCAGTGCCTGGCTGGCCTCGTCTAAACCCAGGGTTAGATTTATTACTCTAGGCATTGAACGTGTGGCGCTACACCAGTGCGCCATTCCGTCATGCATCTGCTTTGAAGCAGCCTGGATTTCGTTATGCAGCTGCTTTGGAGAGGCCGCACACATGTGGAGAAATGCGTCGCGTCATTCGTAAGGACCCAATGGAATGTAAGGGGCGACTGTTTCCATCGGTGACCTGAGAGCCGTGAGATAGCCGCTGGAAAAGCCGCTGGTCAGTCTGCAGGTCGCCTGGCAGGCGTTAGACGTTTGGTGGAAAGCCCGCTGATAACTCGGTACGTCATAGTCAGTCCATAAACAAACAAGGCATAGAATGTTCCGTGGCCAGCCCTGAGAATGCGTCATCCCGTCCGTTTGTATATAAATAGCCGGTAGCTGAGCTCCTGGGGTTGGCCAGAGCGGGCAGGGACTCCGAGGTGACTGCAGGCTCACCAACGTCGCGTCCGACTCTTGGAGTCGGCGCCGAGGGGGTCGCCGCGCGGCGTTCACCAGGTCACCAAGGCCAGGCGTGGTGACCACTGGGTCACGACCACGTCCACACGGGTGGTCTCCGTGCTAGTAGCAAGTCGCCAGCGAGCTGCCGCCGCCCGTCGAGTGTTTGCCGGGCGCCCTGAGCCAGGCCCGGGTCATCTTCGTCGTCGCTGGCCTCCGCCCGGCCGCATTTTCGTCTAGCCCGGACACGAACGCGACGGCCAGCCATGCTACCGCCGCCACGCGCCGTCTCCCTGCTCGTGCTGCTTCCTGTGCTGGCCACGACGGCGCCCACCGAGCCGGCGGCGCCGTCGGCCCAGCTGGTGGCCATTCTGGGCCCTGCTGTGGAGGAGGCGGTGGGTCGCGCGGTCGATGACTGGCAGCAGGCCGCGCTGGACAGCCGCCTCGGGCGGCTGGAGGAGAGCGTTCAGGCCGTCCGCCTTCAGTTGACGGCGTTGGCCGCCTGGCAGCCGGCGCCGGCCGCCGTTTGTCCGGCGCCGGCCACCATTTGTCCGACGCCGACGCCGACGCCGACGCCGACGCCGACGCCGACGCCGACGCCGACGCCGACGCCGACGCCGGATCCGACGCCGGAGCCGACGCCGACGTGTGAGGAGCGGCCGAGCCCGGCGGCGGCGGAGGCGCCGCTGGTGGCGCCAGCGGTGCGCGCATGCGCCCACTCCTGCCTGCAGTTGCGCGACCGCATCGACCCGCTGCCGGACGGCGTCTACTGGCTGCGCGGCCTGCCGGTGCCGGCGTTCTGCGACTTCAGCCATGACGGCGGCGGCTGGACGCTCCTGCTGACCGCCGTGTCGAAGGAGGGCTGGGACGCGCTCAGCGTCTTCGGCCGCAGCGAGCGCTCGCCGTCACTGATCGACAACTACTCCATCTTGCGGCACGCCGACGCCATCCGCGACCTCGGCACGGGTGGCAGGTTCGCCTACAGGATCGAGACGCACGCGCAGGAGGGTCGCCGGCGGTGGGGAGGGGTGTGGCTCGCGCCGCGCCGGTACAGCTTTACCCACGAGACGCCAGCGCAGACGGAGGTCAGCTTGGTGCGCCGCTTCGACAACTGGGCGTACGTGAGCGAGGGCGTGAAGAAGCGGATGCCCTGGGTGAACACGGGCGCGCGGGGAGATGGTCATGAAGCTGCCATCCTGACGACGGCGGGGGTGACCGGTAACTGGTGGGGCACCATGGTGACCTCGTCAGTCGATAAAACGTTCCAGCATAGTCCATGGATGTATCCCATCGCTAGTAAGTCCGGCATTGTGTTGTACTGGATGAGAGAGGAGATGTTCTAACGCTCTCGACGGCTCGTTTTCATGTTTTTTGTGTTTTTTAGAGTTGACGAAGAAGAAATGCAACTGTGCAAAGTGGTCAAGTGACAACCCAGTTTCTTCAGTGGGTTCGTTAAAATTTGCCTAAGTGGATGGTGGGGTGTAAGTGAATGTCTAATGAAGGCGTGGCAGACAGAAGTTAAGTGTGGTGTTACAAAGCCGCGTCGTATCTTTTGAGAAGCATGTTGGTAACTTCTGATGTATAGTCGTGAGTAGCTTGTCGCACAGGCTTGCACTGTAGGAGGAAGCCCAATGACTCTCTCTCCCTTTTCCTCAGCCATGCAAATATCAGCGAAGGTGCGCACCTGATTTGTTGGTTTTTCTGACCCCACTAATTTGAGGCATGACATCGGAAGATATTTTGTTAAACATCTAAAATTTTAGTTCTGCTACAAAACGTCAGCATGCCGTTGGCTGACCTGTAGTTTAGCATGGTTCTACCTGCGCAAAGTCAAGATTGGGCTGGAATCTTTTTAGCATGATGCAAATGCCTGCGAATATATCCATCGAGTGCAATATATATCATATATCTGAATATACAAATATGCCGTCAAATATATTGTTCACAGCGTCGTAATTGCCAGGATCTAGTGATAGTTTCGAACTCATGCGTTCATATTTATGACACACCTGCGCGTCCGATGTCTTGTAGTTTCGAACTCTAAACGATTCCATGAACAATGTGGTTTTATTAGCTGCTAAATATAAATGAATCTGGTTTGTGGGTGCCTCCGCGCGGCCGGGCGCGCCGACGTTATTGGTTGGTTTTCGCTACCGCGGGAGAAAGACCAATAACATAATATCTATAAGAGATTGGTTATTGAAATGTTCAACATGTGCAATGCATCAGGCAGGTATTGTTTATACCGAACGTAAAGTGTCGCTGGAATAACGTAGACTTAGAGTTGAAGGGGGCTTCCCGGCAGTAGCGGCGACGCGGACTTTGCCCTCCAGGCGGTGATGGGGCAAGAGAGGACATGGCATGGCCGCGTCAAGACAAAACCCGACCCATTTAAGACTGAAGACTTCTCGTCTTTTAGTCTCTTATTGTCGGGAGCCAAAGGTCTTTGTTTTTTTAACACTTCTATCCATTTAAAAAATGGAAAGAACGGTTCCCATTCTATGACCGGTTTGTCTGTTGACTCACTGATATAGCTCAAAAGTGGTCTGAAATAAGTTGAGCGCGCCTCAAGAACGCGCAATTTCTTGCATGACTTAAAACAGCGCTGCGTGTTCTCGATCTTATTTTATCATGCACCTTGAGCCTTCAGGCATCAAAATTGATTGGCATACACCACGCTTGCCGTCAGGCCGTACTATAAATAGCAGAGGCAGACGCAAATTACCTAGATACTTGACGCATCCTAAAACTACATGTAATGCCTTTGATAAATTTAAATGGGGGAGGGACTCTTTCCCAAGGGCCATCATGCGCATACGCCATTGATCACCACATGGAGTGTACTGGATGGTATACGGGCTGTCGGGCATCTACGAACGGAGGCGTCTTGCCGTGCGGAGAACACGGAGTAAAACTACTTAGTATGTATATGGATATTGCCACCATTGCATGGTGCCTTCTGCACGGCAGTTTGTCTCGTACACTGTTCGATTGCTTAGTCTAATCGTTACATCATTGCCTTTTCTGCAACTGAGAGCTCTCCACCTGGTTGACCGGTTCGTCGCCACCAACCCTAAGCGGACGCGAATCTGCCCCCACCCCCACCCCCCACCAGTGCCGCTGCCGCCATCCCCGCGGACACTTTTGGGCATGCAGGTCGACAAGGTGCAAGCTGGTGGGCTTCCTGTGGGCTGTGGCGGCTAGCAAGTGGGGTTTTAAGGGCTCTCAGTAGTGGCACATTATTATAACTGGATTTTAAAAACGTTGAAGAATGAGATTGGCTTGATCTCACGGCAACCCGACATGAAAGCTTTCTAGAATCGAACGGAAGTATTTGTAACGATTATGTTGACCGTAAACGTAGGTTTAGACCTCTGTTCTATGGTCTTCTGTGGAAAAGTTCTATAAGATACACTGCTGGTTGTTGTGGGTTTTCAAAGTGTGTTATGCAGGCGAGAGGTATATACATACCCCACCGTAGCAGGAACGTTAATGTGTATACAGCATTAACAAAGGTTTGCATGATATACGGTGCCGCTTTTGTATGGCTATCCGCTTTCGTAATAAACTCACTAACGGCGTAGCTTGTCAGATCGCTTTAGTATCCAGGATCGATACTACGATACAGGAGGTCCACCCGATCTAACATGCACATCCGCACGCATTACAGATAACACCATATATCACGGAGGATCACGGAGGATCGTGCTGGGGTTTTTGTCTCATCAGGGGATAGATGAGCAGTGGCCGGTTGTCGTTTTTCTAGGCGCCATGAGTTTGTTTCCCGCCTACTCGTCGGATGCGCCGGCACCTCGGCCACCAGAGGACGGGAGCAGTACTGCATGGCTCACCAACGTCAGCTTCCCGCCGACTGCGGCAGCCGCGGCCGGCCACGATCCGTCCGCCACGGCAGACAGCACCGCCTCACCGGCGGCCGAGATCACGGTGGCCCCGTGCGCCGGCCTGTCTCCGGCGTCGGCCGACCCCGAGTTGCGTTCTGGCCGCGCTGTCAAGCGGCGCTCCTGTGAGACCCAGTCTCCGGACCGTGCCGAGAGGCGGCGCCACAAGTGGAAGCGCCGGCTGCGCTCGCCGCCTCCGCCGGCGGCTGCGGAGGCCGACCTGCCGCCACTGCGGGGCGTCTTCCTGGAGGAGGCGCGCGTGCGTCCCGAGGCTGCGCTCTCGCTGGACCGCCGTCCGGACAAGGCCAACCGTTCGTCGGCGGTCATGTACCACCGGTACGTTGCGCAGTACACGCGGCGGCGGCGGCCGCTCGGCTGGGCGGCGCCCACCGCGTCACCACCGCCGCGCTACTTCGATCGCGCGGCGCGCCGCCGCCTGCGCCGCGTGCCGGCCCGCCGTCGCCGCATCGGTACGCCTCGAGGGCGCCGGCTTCGTGCCGCTGCAGCTGTCGGCGCCGACGGTGACCGTCGACGCCGACGACGCGGAGCTGCACGGCGAGACGGCGGAGCTCAACAAACGGCTGGCGAGCGCGCCGCGCGACGAGGTGCTCTGGCTGCGGCTGGTGGCGCAGCAGGAGCGGCTGCGCGGGCGCGTGCCGGCGCAGCAGCTGCTCGAGCGGCAGCTGGCGATCCTGGAGCGGGCGCTGCGCGAGTGCGCCGGCAGCCTGCCGCTGCGGCTGCGGCGGCTGCAGCTGAGCGCGCCCGACTGGGACGGAGAGCAGACGCGCAAAGAGTGGAGTCAGCTGCTGTTCGCGCACCCGGCCGACGTGAGCCTCTGGCGGAGGTGGGTTGAGGCGGCGCCTGCAGCGCGCGCAGCAGAGACGCTTCGCCTTCTGCGCCGGCCAGTCTCCACGTACAACTGTTAATAAACGCATGGGGCGTTAGAATTGAGTGTTGTGATGTGGGGAGCCTGAGAGAGTGGAGTGAGAGAGTGGAGTGAGAGAGTGAGTGTTCAGTTGCTTGAATGCGAGGGTTGTGTTCATCAGTAAAATTCAGCGTAACGGCGGTGTGTCTGTTTGTGCACGCGACAATAGGGCGCGGGCTCCGAGCACACGCCTGGGCTTTTCGGTCTTCCTCCGCTACAATGCACGTGGAAGATTTGGGCTGCTGATGGTAACTCAGCGGTGTGTGGTGTGAAGGCTTCTAAGAATTATAACCATTGTCCAACGTTGCAGCGACAGTTTGCTGAAGGGACGAGGGCTGCTCAAATTAAGTTCTGGTATACCTATCTCTGAATATGTCTGAAGTCGTCCAGGGCTGTAGCACGTACAGCATTTGCGTTGGTTGGCTGGTAGCATCAGGAAAGTGTGATGTTTTTGCTGAAGTGAAAGGCACGCGAAGTGGCGTTTGTAATTTTTAATCGGCGACAACAACCTCGGGGCACATTTGAACCCGAATAGTGTTGAAAATGTTTGATGGGTATCTTATCTGGCACCACGACATGGTTATTACACGATTTCGCTGAGGTGCTGTTGGATGATTACCGCGACGAGCTTGGTACAACATGGTACGTCTCACAGATGGTGTTCCGCGTTGTCCAGGTACCTGGCATTCCAGCAGCACGGGTCGGGGTTCGGGCTAACAGGCCTGCTCTCGGCGTTCGCGCGCTGCCTGGACCGCATGCGCCAGTTCCAGGCAGGTCTGATGAGGCCGCACCGTCCTCCCCCACGACTGGAACAGTTCATGCTGGAGGTTCTCAGCCACCTGTGTCGGGTACGTTGGTGTCCGTGTGGGGAAGATATGCGTTGTTGTTTTTGTTTTTTTAGAATAGATGTATTGTGTGGCGTTCCTGCTCGATAAGGATGCAGGCCTGACCACGTTGCGTCTGGATTGGACTATGCCAAATGGTGTCAGTACATTTGTGATATGCCAATTTCGTCCGTCGTCCGTCCGTCCGTCCGTTTTTTGTTTGTTTGTTTTTTTTAGCAGGACACAACGTGGACGGCTGCGTGAGTTAAAGCGAAATTACTGCACGCCACACTTCAGCCCTTGTGACGATCCATGACATCAATTCACGCCTACCGATGGTGTTGTCGGTCACAGCGCGCGCGAGAGGGGGCGTGCTGTAGCATTTAGCTTGGAGACACTTCGTATGTGTGGGAGAAGCAAGCTGCCCGAAGAGCATGCCGTTGGAAACGTCACAGAGCTCGAACATCGATGAATGTGGCGTCTCGCACGCACTTAACTGTTGGACCAGTGATTGTTTCTGAGCTTCTGCCCCTCGATTTACGTACTGCATCCTCATGCACCATTCCTAGATTCTGCGTCAGGCCGGCTTCATGGAACGCGCCATCGCCATCTATCAGGCGCTGTTGGAGCTGAACCTTTTCTCACCACCGCAAGATGGCAGTGCGTTAGCGTCGACCCTTGCGGCCATGGAGCCGTTTTGGGACGCTCGGCTGGCGCGGCTGGGCGAGCCTGGCGCACGCGGCTGGCCGGCCGAGCTGGCTGCTCGTCAAGAGCGCGCGCCAGACGAGAGCGCCGAGCCGGTCGATGAGCTGGAGGAACGGCTGCTGGCCGAGCGGCGACCGCGGCCCGAGGTCTGGCGTCTGGTGGAGGTGAGGTGCGCGCGTTGGTCTGCACGCCGGCGACGGCCGGGCGGCGGATCGTAGGGGCTTTTAGCCACTGCGAGTGCACAGCTTTGATGTGAAAAATACCTCCGCCGAAAACCCAAAACCTGCAGTCTCGCAAACCCAAACCTCGAATACGGGGAGCGCTTTCGGCCTCGCCATGCATGCTTCTAGGAGAGACACGAAGAATGTGTGGGTGTATCCTTCACGGATACTGTGTGTTGCTCTGGTTTATGCTTATTCCGACCACGTGCTTTGGCTATGACCTGCGTCCTGTACCCGAATTCTTGGCATATTTCTAACTATTCATTCCGAACGGTTTTGAATGCATGGATTTCCGGAATCACAGCTTACGCTAGGCAGTGTCTGTTGTGTGACCCCTGACCCCCTATCATCCGATTGCGAAATGCCAGGTTAGCGGCAAAATTTGGTTTAACCTGCCGCATGTTCGGCACGGTCTGTCCTGCCCTCTGACGTCACCTTACCTTTAGCGCGGCTGCTGCCAACGGCTGCAGTCCATGACTGTCAAGGGCAGATAGCGAGCGCCTTTAGCGACTCGAACCCATCCAGCCACGGATGGGTGGATCGGAACGCATCCGTTGTGACCAACTGAGCCCCTGTAACGGACGGACAAATCATTCATTAATGGTGGCTTTGTTACCCGCGGGTACTCCGTAGAACGGCCAGGTTCATTACGCTACGGTAGAGACTAAGAGAACGAAAAACGTCTCATTGATGTCGATCGTGGCGCTGGTGATTTCATCCGGCGTGAGGCCGCGGTGAGCAGGCGCGTCACGGTTGTCGTGCAGATGCTGGCTGGTTAAAGGGAAGGCACAGGCGTTTAGTGACTGGCGGTCACCGTTGAGCGGTGCTGGCGGTGGTGGCGCCCGGAGTGGCCATGACGGAGCTGACTGTGCCTGTCCCGACCGGGCCACACCGGGTGATGCCTGCTGACGCCCGATCTGCCCTGCTCTGCCCTGCCCTGCCCTGCTTTGCCCTGCCCCTCCCCGCCCCGCCCCGCCCCGCCCCGCCCCGCCCTGCTCTGCTCTGCCATGCCCTGCCCTGACCGGACGCGTGCCCCCAGTGTCGGCGGGAGGAGCTCCATTGGTTGCCATGGGACCGGCCCGGCCGGGAGGACGACTGCGAGGACACCGACCGCATCGTCCTCTTCGAGGACGTCAAAAGGTAGCGGCTGAGGCTCGGGGCGAGCCACACGGGTGCTTCACTCACCAGAGCGGGTGTGCTGAGGTCAACGATGGGCGAGTGGGCAGGGGGGCTGCCAGTCCTTTTGGTCTCCACGGCTTGAAGCGTAGATCGTCGTTCCGCTAGCTAAGCAAACGCCAAGACTACCTAAGTGGTAGCCCGTGCTCAGGCTGTCGGTGGCACGCCGGGGCGACTGCAGACAGTAGCAGCGAGCTTAACAGGGGGTGGGGGAGGGGGGGGGGGGGGCAATGTCAGGCGCCTTACGAATCGCACGCATTATTTTGTTCCGTGGGCAGTCGACTGTCCTTTCTTTGAAGTGTCGAAGGAATTAAACCCCGCACGAAATATTGTGACAGTATGTCATTCTAGGATACACACGGGCTATGATTGAGAAAGGTTTGTTTCAGTTCTGGATATCACGACCACATGAAATCGTGCATCTCCGCTTTGCCGTCGGCCCTAGCTCTGCATACCAAAGCGACCCGATAACGAAAGTACCGTGGTGCCGTATGCACATTTGGATTGGCTGAGGACTCGCACCGTTTACCTTTTAACGCGACGCTGTTCGTGATGATTGCAAGGTAAAGGGGAAGCTCCCAACCGGGAAGAAAGACGTCAAATGAGTCGTGAAGGGATGCCGCAGCGTTGTCGATATTTGATGCAAAGCCGGTCTCCTGTGGGCCAGATCTCGTGAAGTATCAGTAGTATCCTAAGTTAAGCACGTCGAGTTCAATATCGTACATGTCTTAAGAGCATTGATCGCCGAGCTGGGGTGTTTCTGGTACAGCTTTCACAGCGCATCTATCCTGGTTCCAGGTTTCTATTTTATCTGTCGCCGGAGCTGCTCGGCCGCGCCGTGGAGGACTTCGTCGCCTTCCTCAGCGGAGAGGATAGCGAGGACACCAGCCCTGGGGACGACACGCTGGCACTTCTCGCCCTCGACGGGGGCGCCCTCGGTGCCTCGTTCTCCGTTCCTGCCGTCGGGTCCCGCATGGACTCGTCCGAGTGCGTGGGTCGGCTCACTGTGCCTTCGCCCGGACCGCGGGTGGACTCGCCGGAGTATGCGGCCTTCGTCGGCCGTGTGCTGGAGCAGAGCGCCGGCGTCGTGCCCGCCGGCCAGCGCACGCGCCTGCTGCAGCGCTGGATGCGCTTCCTTGGACGGCGAGCCTTCATTCCGACTGCAGCAGGTGGCACCGCCGCCACCGGTAAAGACGGCATCACCGTCCAGAGTAAAGTTGGCGCTGCCATCGAGGCATCGGCTCAGGCCTGCAAGGAGGCGCGCCGCCGACTAAAGGCCATTCTGAAGTCGGAGAGGCAGAATGTGGCGCTGTTCCTCGAGTATGCCGAGTTCGAGCGTGCGACGGGCGCGTCCGAGGCGGCCGGCCGTGTGATGGAGACGGCGCTGGCCCAGTGTCCACTGGAGGATCCGGTCCGGTTCGAGATTGTCCACAGGTGAGACTCCAACAGACAGTGCGGTTCAGTCCGTCAGCTTTGGTACTGATTCGGCTGAGGTCGTTCCCCCTGAATAATATGTGTGCATTTATATTGCTCGGTGAGGTGCATCGGGCGCGTGAGTCTCATTATGACTCTCATTCTCATTCCAATTTCCACCGTGCTTATTTGCTAGGTACTTCATTCCACTCTCCGGCGTCCGGTTAGCTACCAGTCTTGTTATCTACCACAAGATTTCATCTGTGTACACAAACCGGCGATGGTGTAAAGGTTTATAACATGAATAAATGTGGATATCGCTCGGGTTTGCGGAGCGCGGACCTGACACGCCAGTGTGTAGTTTGGGCTAATTTTTTGTTTGGTCTCGTCATGAAAAAGGGTGAAAAAGTAGTCAGATGGTGTTCTATAATAGTACCAAAGCAACGAAATAGAAAAGGGAAATAGTACTTCCAATGCATCGAAGGAAAAAATAGTTTCGAGGCATAGCAAACTTGAATGTTGGGTAACCGCACTGCTGGTATGCACAGCATGTTTCCATCTTGAATTCAACCTGATCTTTTGTTTGCTTTGGACTTTTTCAATCATGTATGTGAACAGGAGGTCATAGTTTATATCTACTTCATCGTTTTGCACTTTTTAACCAATCCGTGGCCTCTCCGCACATATTCTTCCATTCTTTTTTTACATTTTCTATGCATGTCACTACAACTCAATTTCACAACACATACTAGATGGAAGCATTTAAGGCTTTACAATTCTACAGCCTGGCGCTGCTAAAGAACTTGTCAGATCATCGCTTGTGGGACCACATTGGCTTTAAATGACGTCAGTGCCTCTTGCCTTGAAGCAGGCACGTATATGTGGTGGCGTGTTACTGCGTTCGTGTCAAGCTTCAATTACAGAGAATTAGCACGCCCAACACGGTTCTTCAGCACTGGCTTGCGCCGTGAACTTCAATGGCCCCAGAGTAGTTTCCCCCAGATGTTTCCCACCGGCCGGGCAAAAATCGTTTGGAAATCCCTCGCACGTAGAAGCTAGCGCAAAGATGGAAATGCGCACAAACTATGCAAAGATCGGCGGAAATGCCAGAAAGCTACCATTGAATCGACGCTATAACCTTTGGAAGCCCACAGTTGGAACCAATCGCAGCTGACGGCCGGCGCGTTACTATTTGACCGGGCTTGGTGATATGCAGGTTTTTCACGACTAGGTCGCACGGGCGTTATTGTGGGTTGTCTCTTTTCAACGGCGGTGAGCTCTGGAACAAGCATCTGGTGGTATCCGTGATTGTTTTCGGCGCGTTTGCTGGTGGATGCTGCATGCCATGCCCACATTTTTTTATTTCCCCACTCGGTGGGCTTTCTGGTACGTTGTCTGTAACGGACTCGAAAGATGGCCTGGAACACTTGCATGCCTCTCGAATGTTGTACACGCTTGTTGATGATGTTTCTCAGCCTGGCTAGTTTCCATAACTTGAGAGGTTGCTTCTCTACTATTTCAACTAGTAACTGTCCCAGAGGGACTGGTGTGACGTACCTGATGTGTCGGTTTCCAACTTCATCCATAAGCATCACTGGGATTTTGATCCTTGGGTGTGTCTACCAATCTGTTGAGTCCAAGCGGTTTGGGTGTTGGGTAGCTTACTAATGACTGATGAACTAAGACCTCTGGAAGAGGCAAAATGGTCGCCGCCTCCGGGGTGGTAACCCAAGCCTCTGGGGCGCCACCCAAGCCTCCGGGGCATGGGGCGTCCTGATGTATTCACACTAGCGGCTGGTGTCTAGGGTACCTCTTCACGCTGGTGTGTTGCGTCCAGTCTGCTGCCCCACGCGTTCCCCCAGCTCGAGCCTGGTTGGGGCCCGAGTTCACCCTGCCTCGTATGGGACAGACGGCGCCAGCTGAGTGTGCCGCGCCGCCGGATGAGTGCGCCGCACCGCCGAATGAGTGTGCCGCACCGCCGGCAGAACGTGCCGCAACGCCGGCTGAGTGTGCCGCATCGCCAGCTGAGTGTGCCATACGGCCGACTGCCTGTGCCGCACCGCCGGCTGAGTGTGCCGCGCCGCCGGCTGAGTGTGCCGCGCTGCCGGCAGGTACTGTCTGCTGCTGGCGAGCTGCGGCGCCGCCCCGGCTCATGTCCGACGCCGCTGTCTGGCCGCCCTCTGCGGCCTGTTCGAGAGCTTCAGCCCCGGCCCGGACGCGCCGGCTCCACCCCAGGTGCGCACGGTCACCGCCCGCTGTGAAGGACCTGTCCTCTCTCTGATGTGCTGGTCACGTACTGCTG